CACCCAGATTTGGACTTGAGGGATGGAGATGCTGCCTGGGCCAAGTCTTGAAGGGCAAGCAGAAATTAGACCAAGAAGGGTACTGAAAGAAAGAATGGTATTTCATATAGAGAGAAGCCCTGAAAAAAAAAAAAAAGAGGCATGAAACCACAGGGTATGTTTGGGAGAAAACATAAGCATTTCAGTATTGCTAGAGAAAAAATGAGCATGTAGGAAGTAGCAACAAATGCAGCCGAAGAGAGGTGAGTGTGGTGGATGTGTGAGGGAGGATGGAGGGACTCATATATACTGATCAAGAGCCTATGCATCTTGTAGGTGACAGAAGACTTTGCAGTGTTCGTGTAGAAGAATAATGCATTTGGTTGAGAGAAAGAGTGCTGTGACTGTAGTGTAGAAAAGGCACGAAAAAACAGTTTGGTGGCAGGGCTGTGGCAACGTTTCTTGGAGAGAGGTGAGGAAGGTCTGAACCCCAAAATGGCTCTAGAACGCTGTCTTCCACAGATACAGTATATCTTTGTTGAATGAGTGATTTTTTAAAATTAAAGTTAAACCAGTTTTTCTTTTTAATTTTTTAAAAATTAAAAAAAAATTTATATTGGAGTATGGTTGATTAACAATGTTGTGCTAGTTTCAGGTGTACAGAAAAGTGATTCGGTTATACGTGTACATATATCTACTCAATTTTAGAGTCTTTTCCCATATAGGTCATTACAGAATATTGAGTAGAGCTCCCTGTGCTATACAGTAGGTCTTTGTTAACCAGTTTGTCTTATACCATGAAAATTATTACACTGAGACAATACTTTATTACCACCAGAGTAGGCTTTTCAATTTACTCTAATTACCTAATATAAAAATTGATTCTCAGGAGGGCAAATTTACTCTTTTTACGTAAAAAGCACAGGTATATACAAACAACTTATAAACATATTTAGAGTCTATCTGTGGTATTAAAATTTTATTGAGAAGGAGGGTGAGGAGGGAAAAAATATTTTAAAAGGCTCCATAAGGGGGAAATAATTTTAAAAGTTTAAGAAATGCCACTCTAAATAATCATCATAACTTCAGTAGCATTTGCTAGTTTTTTGTTTTTGTTTTTTTTTTTGCGGTACGTGGGCCTCTCACTGTTGTGGCCTCTCCCGTTGTAGAGCACAGGCTCCGGACGCGCAGGCTCAGCGGCCATGGCTCACGGGCCCAGCCGCTCCGCAGCATGTGGGATCTTCCCGGACCGGGGCACAAACCCGTGTCCCCTGCATCGGCAGGCGGACTCTCAACCACTGCGCCACCAGGGAAGCCCCATTTGCTAGTTTTAATCCAGTATACTGAGTCTTTTTGTTTAACATAATTCTACTTAAGTCTGTCTGAGTATTTCATATTCAACTTGGTGTTATTGCTTGTTTTGTCTTTGGTATCATACTGACTTACAAAACTATATCTGAACAGAAAAAGAGAAATATTCCCATGATTCAGAGAAACAGCATTTAAATGTAAAACTCCTATTTCACCTGAGGCCTAAAAGCTATTCCAAGATGATATTTCATCAATCCTCAAAGCAATCTATTTTATAGAGAAACAGAGAAGAGCACTCATATTCTCCTAACATAGCTCCATGGGGATAACGATTAGTTGTTCTAAATACAGGCCCAGGAATTTCAGTCTTAGAGCAGTAGTGGGCATCTGAGTATCTCTTTCTGTGATGGTCATGGTTCTAAAATGGGGGTTCTGTTGCTCAGGAGCCTCCCAAAACCTAGTACCCTAGGGATCTGGTAAGCCAGCTACTTGGTTAAACTTAATACATCAGCATCACGCTTCTCTACCCCACCTCTCACGTCTCAAAGTGAGTATATCTGCTAGAGAACTATTCTTCCCAGGAAATGCACTCGTTCTGATACTTTTTCCAAAGAGTGTCTGCTTTTTCTAAAATGCCAAGGTGATACTATATTCACAACAGAGATATAACCATCTGCCCTAGCAAGTGCAGAAGAGAAAGTAATGGAATTCAAACCCAAGTGGCTGCATACACATTGCCACAGCATCTGTCTTTCTAACGAACTTGAAAACACTGAGCCTGTGCTCTAGGGATCCAGATTTTTCATTTCAAGATAGAATTCTCTTCTGAAGCTGTTGTTGTGAAGACCAAATTTCTCCACCTGCCAGTCTATTTTCTGAAGGCAATGGACCTTTTATTTATATATTTATTTATTTATTTATTTTGGTAATGGACCTTTTAAATCAATGTTATGCTCTTTTAGAAGCACTTGTATCCTCCTCTATCTGTATGCTGAAAAATGTGGATCTGAATTTTTAAGGTATTACTCACAGGATGAATGTAGTCCAAGGCAGTTGATTCAGTTTTGCCTGGATGGGTCAAGCTTGACTAGATACACTTTCTGAGGTCTGGAGAAAGACACACATATTACATTCTATGCTTCAACCTCACAAACCAAAAGAAGCATGGATTTCTTTTCTCCTTTATTTTCATGACACTACCTGCTCCTAATTTTCATCGTACTTCTATACCTACTTCTCTCTTTTTTTAATTGAATCAACTTTTCTGCCCATGTTGTTGATTTTCAAATTTTCTCTTCTCGTCCTTCTTTATACTATCTTCCCAGATCATTTTATCCACTCTCATAGCTCTAACTATTCTTTCTATGTAATGACCCTTGACCAGCTCTATGTCCTGAATATCAGAACTGTACTTAACTGTGAATTAAGATCTCAACTCATATGTCCCAAAGTCACCTCAAAGTCAACATGTCTCAGATTGATCTTAGCACATCCACTGGAAAGCCTTCAGTGCTGTCTTTCCAAGATTAGCGAATGATGCTCACCTGCCAGAATACCGCTAGAAATCTAGGCATCATTCATGGCTTCTTTCTCCCTCTCCATCTACATCCAATCCCACACCAGTCAAATGTTGTCATTTTATCTCCTCAGTTCCTTTCAAATATATCTATTGTTTCCACTGAGATGTAAGCTACCATTATCTCTGGTCTGGCTTCCTTCCACAGCTCCTTAATTGTTAGCCCTGATCCCAGTCTTGCTTTCTTCCATTCATTTGTTCACAATGAAGGCAGACCACTCTGTCTGAATCACAAGTCTAAGCATATTATTTCCCTGGTTAACAGCTTTCAGTTGGTCTACATTTCTGAAAGCCCTCTATCATCCGGTTCCTTCTTATTTCTCCAACATTTTTAAGACTTCCTTAAATTTTGTAACTTCTCTGAGATTCTTAATTTCATCATTGTCTCTCTACCCACTCACTTCTCTCTCTCCCTCCATCTCATCCAGGAAATTAATGTCCACATGTATTTCCTCACTCTTTCATTGTCATTGCACTACCATCTCTCAGACCTCAGTTCATTTATCCCTTTTTCATGTCAACCTCCCTTCCCGCTCCCTTAGGTCATAGTGGTTTCTCTTCAATATGCTGTCATAGGATATTGCATCTTTCCTAACATCTCCTGGATCTGTCTGCACGCCCTACTCCTAAGCACGCCCTATTCCTGTCAATGAATGAAGGAATGCTATTTCTTCTGTCTGAAAATGCACTGCATCACCCTGTTCCCACCTTTACCCAGCTAAATCTCCCTAATCCCTCAACATTCAGGGAGCGCTCTTCTGAAAAGTTTTTCCTGACTTGGCAAGCTAGGCTAGGTGACTCTCCACTATGCTGTCATGGTAATGAATCATCTTTTATAATTAAGTCAGATCATAACACTCTTTTGCTCAAGATCCTCCAAAGACGCCCCATTTTGCTCAGAGTAAACCTCAAAACCCTTATAATAGCCTACAGTGCTCTACAGCATCTGTCTCCCTTTCCTTATTATTTCTCTAACTTCATCTTTTAAGACTTTCTTCTTTCTTTTGCCACATTTAGGCATGCTACCATTTCAGGGCCATGGCAGGAACTGAAACGCTTTCCCTAGCTTTCTACATGACAACTCCCTTGTCTCCTTCAAACCCTCGCACAAATGTCCTCTTGTCAATGGACCTGCATAAGCACCTATTTTAAGTTGCGATCTGCTCCACACCTCTCTATCTATGCACTCCAAATCCTCCTTTTTTGCTGCGTTTTAATAGCACTTATTCCTTCCTATCAAATGATATAATTAATTTATGATTATTAGTCATCGTTTGTCTTTCCTTATTAGACTGTAAGCTCCACACAGGTGGATATTTGTATCTGCTTTGTTCACTCAAGTTTTCCAAGTGCCTTCAAGGGTGTCTGGAACAGAAGAGGTGATCAGTAAATATGTTTAAAGGATGAGCATTGATTGTGCTATACAGTATTAAAATTTTATTCCTTGTCCACCTGCCCACCACCAAACCATGCACTTGTCAAATGCAGGGAGTTTTGCCCTTAAATCTATTTACAATATCCAGCATATTTGCTGAAAATCATGGGTTCATAATAAATGTTTGCTAAGTGCATGTATGCATCTCTGACCTCACTACCCCATAGCTTTGCAGGGTTTGCAATCACACTATACCAAACTAGAATATGAGTTCAAGAATGTTGTTTCCTTAGTAGAGAAGCTTCTCTATAAATTCTCATGGCATCTGAGATCTCCAAAGATGGAGTCCAATGTGGACCAAGGTAGTGACTACAGCCATCCTTCCATATCCTAGGGTTCCGTATCCATAAAATTGATCCCGGGTTGGTTGAATTCACGGATGCAGAAACCGCGGATGAGAAAGGATGACTTTACTACTTCATTTTATATAAGACACTTGAGCATCCACAGACTTTGGTATCTGTGGGAATTCCTGGAACCAATCCCTCGTGGATTCCAGAGATGGCTGTATTTCTCCTGCAGAGTCACTTCAGAGGTTAAGAATTTGCCATTGTCCATTTAGCTTTTTTCTCCATTCTGTGTCTGTAATTGGGGCATTTATTTTAATAAGTTAAAAAACTAAAGGAAGTCCTGGGAATCGTGAGCTCGAAAAATAATATCTTTCCTTCTGTGACTTCTCTTTTTTCTTTCCTTTCTCAGAGCTCTTCCTGCCATGATGCAGTGGGTCCGCACGCAGAAGCCAGGAGAGAGTGGCATCAATATTGTCACTGCCGATTTCGTAGAACTTGGTGATTTCATCAGCACTGTCATAAAGCTCAACTATGTCTTTGATGAAGGGGAAGCCAACACTTGATAGTACCATTTGGAGTGCCAGTGAATAAGATAGAGAAAACTCACTGTATTAGGCATATTATCTATAAACACTCTGATCTTCCTATTCCACTGAGTCTCTGAGGGAATAAGGGCTGAAAGTGGGTGGGAAAAGGGGGAAACCATTTCTTCAGTGATTATTATCATACTCTACATTACTATAAATATTTCATTTCTCATTTGATGATCAAAACCTACTTCTAGTGTTAGGAATAAAAAAAAAACTAGTACATTTCGTTTCTCAGAATTAGTTTTTGTAACTTATGAGTGTTTACTTGATTGTGTTTCTGATTTCAACCTAGGGCTCCTACACTGTGTATCCTCTAAATGAACCTTTCTGCTCCCTCTCTAGCTCGCTCTTTTTAATCAGCTGTTGTATGGGACTTAAAAATAATTAAATGCCCAACATAACGTGTATTATCAATACATTGTTGTGCTGAAATGTACTTGTTTTGTGGGACCTGGTATAATATTCTGTAGTCTGCAATCTCACTAACTTTGGGTCATAAACAATATGCATCAAATCTGTTTCCCTGCATAAGTAATATTGGTGGGCATAATCAGTAATTTTTGTGTTATATAAAAACAATAGTGTTTCACAGTATTTCTATTTAAGGCAGCTATAAATATAGAGTAAAAACTTTTGTGGAAGAACTATTAGTGCCAACTCCATAGTGAAAAATGGGGGTGGGGGAAGAGATGGATATCATTGTAATTCAGAAATCTCTTAACTAATATTGTCCTACAAATGCTCAGTAAATGAAAAATTATGACAAGTGTTGTTAAAATCAGAAAACTCTGAAAATAAATCTTATAAAATTTCTTCTAACAATTATCTTGACTGAAAAAATAAAAAGAAGAAAAGAAAGAAATGAAAGATTGAGCAAGCTTTCCTAACAAATTGAGATTTCCAAATATGTCATTCTAAATCCCAGATTTTGAGGAATATATTCTGAGAAGGTTCAATCTGAGTTTTTTTACTTGAAGTTGAGGAAAATGGAAGGGTGGCAGAGTGAATTAGAGCAATGTTTTTGAAACTATGACCGTGAACTCTCAAGGATCAGTGAAACATTTTTAGGAGATTCTTAAATACATGTGATTTGGGCAGACTTATTGAAAATCACTTCTGTGTCCCACCCCAGGGTCAAGTTTGAGGCAGAGGCCCAAGTTTCACAGAAAGTTTCTGCCATCCACCATTTGATAGTCCAGGTGTATGAGGAAGAAAAATGGTAATGCAACTTTGAGCACTGCTTCTGCCTTGGTGTCTTTGTGATACTTGACAGCTCTAAACAATCTTAAAAGAGCATGATAGCCCTTACCAATATGCCTCACAGGAATATTGTGAGGCATTTATAAAACTCTATAAAATTTGCTGAATTTGTACAATTCTGAATTATTTTATCTTCATGTTTAGAAATAATCTCACCTCAATAGTTTCCTGGGAAAACACAGTCCATGTAAAATGGGGCCATAGAGAAATAAAAGCATGCTCTCAGTTTTCAGTTAATTTAGATGTATGACATGTGGTTTAATCTCTGAGTCCTAGGTAAGGGATTTAATTACAAGGTTACATACATCAAAATTATAAATATTCAAGAGTTGATTAAAAGATTATAAATACTCACTATGAGAAAATAGTGCTTACTAGCAGCTGTGGGGAAGGAAGAGAAATTGTTTATACTGAAGAGAACATTTATGAAAAGTGTGCAGGTGTGTGTGGTTGACCAAGTAGCATGCATATACACACAACAGATATGATCTCCATTCCAATTGTGTGTATATGTCTCAACAGACAAAATATATCAATATACACCCACTCTTGTGCAGGCAGACAGACACAAATACACACAAACACACACAGTCATGGACAGACACAGTGAAATTCTTCTTTTCAAGTGAAAACTTAGGTAATATTAAATAATTTAATTTTAGGACCAAAACCCTTAACAATGTATGAAAAAGAGTTGATGAGATTTTTGAAAGTAGAGTAGCTGATCATGTTCAAATATTTTTGTAAAAATCGATATTAATTATCTACAAATATAATTTTCTTTCTGCTTTCCCTCCCCTTGCAGTTTTATTGCCTTTCTATCTCTCTCACCTGCTCTTTATATGCAATTGAATATGAATCCTTTCTAAAGGACTATAGCTTATTGAAATTTATGTCCTGTGAAGTTGTTTTTTGGGGAGGTTTTCTCTGACTATTCATTATTCATCCCTCAGGAGGATCTTTAGCCAAGCACACTTGCAATGACACAAGGATTTAACTTATAAATGTATGAGAAAACAGATCTTTCAACATATTCAATACAAATGAAAAATGAATAAAATATAGAGGTAACTATGTTGTGTTTTCTTGAACTTAGATGCTTTCTTATGTTTGCTTAGAATTAGCTTTGTCATATCTGTCATTTGGGTGCTGGAAAAAAACAAACATGCTGAAGCATTAGATTAATTTTCCGGTTTCTGAGTTAGAGAAAGCTTTTAATTGCTATTAATGATATGCACATAGAGTCCTTGTTTGACAAAAGATACTTCCAAGCCAATGTTTGGTGTCCATGTGGATGTACAGTATCTATGTAACAGGCACTGGGAGTAAATGGACTTGCCTTAATTTCGAAAGGAGGGAACAGGTAGAAGTGAACCATGCATCCTCCACTAGAGGAAGAGTTCACTAGGAAGGATTCCTTTGCAAGGGGAATGGAGGGAAAATGCCTTTGGCTGTCTTCTGCCCATTGGCCCTGCTCTGGGACACACTTAGGGAGCAGGCTGTGGGCCTTAAATAAAGAGGTAGGGGGTGAGGACTAGTGGTATGCAATCAGAGCTTAGCATCAGCCTAAGCTCCTTTGTCTTAGCTGGGCATTGAGTTTCCAGAGAGTTAGAGCACAAGGGCTACAAATAGACCCCCAAATGGTAGGAGATACATCTTGGTGCATTTTTTGTTCTACTTATTTCTTAAGACTTTTCCATCACAGGTCCTGCAAGGCAAAGAAAACAGAAACAAAATCCAACTTTTACCCAATTTACAGCAGGAATTCAAAGGAGTGGCTGAGATGAGGGAAAATATACAAAGAGTATCATTTTTTGGTTTGCTTTCCTGTCTGTAATTTCGAAGGACAAATATTTAGATACTCCTGCCATTATTCTTTATGTCTCCCTTATTACTACACAATCATATGAATGCAGAGAATGACTTTTAAAAGCCTTAGGATATTCTATATGATGACCTCAATATTCACTTTCAGCCATACTGGGAAAACTCACGTTTCATGGAGTGCCACCTAACAATGAATGTACTAGAGCATAAAGTATTTGGTATGTATGCACCTGTGTGTGTACACACGTACTCACACACACACACACATACACACACACACACACACACACACACACACACACACACCATGCACATCTCACACATTATTCAAGCCGAAACTGCACTCTAATCACTCAACCTGATTCTATTGTCATTTTAACTCTTAAAATTAATATCTCCTACGTAAGTAGGGACAAACATAATTTAAATATTTAAGAGGAGAAAAATCACTAGAAAACCAATGAAAAATGAGATCTTCATAAATAAGAAATGCCTAGCAGTAATAGTCTAACTACACTGTCAATTACACTTCAAGCTAGAGAATCAAGGATGGACTTAAATATAAATCACAAACAGACAGACATGGCATCTTCGCTTAATGTTGTTTTAAGTTCTTTGAGTTCTAACATGTTTTAGCCAAGGTTACCCATTCAGGATCTCCCCTGTTAGGATTCCAGACTGGAAGTTTGGAAGTCTCAGGAAATGTATGTTTTCATGACTTTTTCAGTTCTACAATTTTAATGATCCAATGACACAATCTTCTGACCTTTGGTTGCTAGTCCAAATGAGAGCTCCACAGGTAGAGTGCTGGCTTTTTGAATTGCTAATAGAAAATAATGCGTAGTGTCCCTCAGGATATGCTAAACAAGGTTTTTAAAAGTATTTTATTTTATAGCACTTTAGTTTTTTCAACTAGATTTCAGTGACACGATGGTGTAAATGCTGTATTTGCCATAACTTACTGGTGGCTCCTGTGTTACATACAGTTTTAAATAATGCTCTAACTTATTTGTTTTCCCAATGACAGTGATAAAATGTTCCGTAGAATTTGTAAAACGTGTTAAGTCAGTTGAAAATTGTGCAATTTTTATTTCATTTGTGATACTCTTTTGTAGGTATTAGTCCTAAATGTGTATTTGTATGAGTCAGAAGTATGTGCTTGTATGTGTGTATTAAGTATACTGTATCTTATACAAAATCAAACTTATCCTAAAGAAAAAGGGCACATTACGACCAGCCTTAATTCATTGACATTTTTGTTATTGTTTCAATTTGGGATTAAAATTTTAAAAGAAATTATATTTTTGTTAAAAATGGGCTTTTTTTTTAATCACATGAGAAATGTGCTTTAGCACTCATTTGAGTTCCACAAGCAAATAGTCCAGCTTGTGGAACACCCAATGCTCTTTAAGTTTCAAACGTCAATTAATTTATTAACTTCATTAACATGCAAAGAAACTAAATTCAGATTCATTTCCATCAACAACAGAACCAGTGCATTCCTAAAGCTGTTCTTCCAAATATGGAACCCATTTTGCTTAAAGGATAAGCTTTCCATAAAAAATTGTTTCTCCAAACCATTACTTTTTAAAAAATTGGATCTTCTCAAGTGAGATGAACTGCCTTGGCCCTGTGAGAGTCAGTAAAGACCCATCAACATTAGGTGGTACCCTTTGCAAAAAAACAGGATGCAACACTCTTAAATTTTTGCTATCTGCCTATATGCAGTTTAGCAATAAAAAACTAAATACTAATTTGAGGATCTGCACAGGTGGCCATGTTCAAAGCAAAACTCTGTAATCTTTGGGCCTGGGATCTTGGTATGGAATATTAATCAATCTTCTTTCCTCTCTTTCTCCATCTTCAATTATTTTTGTCCCATATTTAAGGTTGCTAGGTAGAATACAGGACACCCAGTGAAATTCAAATTTCAGATACATATGAATATTTTTAGTATAAGTATTTTCCCAATATTTCATGAGATGTACTTATACAAAAAAATTACTCATTGTTAATCTGAAATTCACATTTAACTGGTTGTGTTTGTATTTTTCTCTAATCTGGCATCCCTATCCATCCTGACTTTCTACTTTTTTCATCAGGGCTACCTACCTATAGGGGGTAAAATCCTACCTCTTTCTACACTCCTGTGTTAAGATACTTCACGAAAATCCATAGTCCTAATACCCTTCATGAAGGAAAATATTGGCCCATGCCAAGTCCTACAAATGCATTATGAAGGACCAACTCAAATATAGGAGGAATAATCATATAAGAACTTTTATAAGATTAATGCCACATTCACTGGCCTGTTGTGAGATACAAGTCTCACTCCACCTGCCCCCCTTAATCCCTTAAGTAACATTTCTCAATAATTGGGACAACCAGTAACACACCCAGACATTTAAAATGACCCTGGAGTATAGTAGCACCTTCCAACCCATACCAGGACCTCTTTTAAAATTTATTATTTTTTTCTTTCAGAGAGGTAACAAACTAATCCCTTACTTTTCTCATTAACATCTTACCACAGATTATTTTTATCAGATTAGAACTGGTCTCCTACAGAACTGTAGAAAATTTGACATAGAAAGGAACTCTCTTGACTGCCTGAGGAAGAGAGGAGTCTGAGGTCTGAACACAGCTTTGTCGGTGCCTACTCGCGCAGCAGGTGGGAGATAGAATGTAGTGCCTGACAATGAAGCCAGCACCTGACAGAGACGCTTGCCAAAGCAGATTATAACAACCAGCACTTTTTCTGAGGAAACCCAACACGTCCCAGAGTAAGAGCAGTGGGATCTAAGGCCAGTTTCTAGAACACTTTTCAGAGAGTAGAACCATGTCGGCATTCCTAAAATAGAGTTTTCAAATACTGTTGTATCCAATGGTGAATCCTTGACAGAGTCCGAATGTGGATGGAGTTTCAGAACATTTGGATAGCTACCTCCTCTCTTGAAATTTGTGTAAGTGATAAGAAAATCCAAATCCCTTAATGTAACATTTCCATCTCATGGCCCCTGCTGTCACACATTTGTGTTGATTTGCTTCATGTCTAGAGGATGGGAATTTGCAGAGCTGGTGACATTTCCTTCATTGGACACTAGAAATTCACCAGAGGGAGACAGATCTGTGCCTTCTCTTTTTAGGATCTGGTCATTGATACTTTAATAAATGTGGTGTATAGAAAATACATGCCTACAGTTCTGTTTAGCAAATGTGAAATTTTTTTTGATAAGATCGTGTTCTTAATGTTTAGAAAAGTTTCTTTGTATCCAGTGAAAAGCTTAATAAAGTCCTGATACCAGTTGTCTTAATATTTTTATTTCATATTCATCAGTGCTTCATGATAGCCCCAAAGTGGATCTCTTAAATAGGACACGACTCAGAGCAACAGGAAATATCATTCCTTTTTAAAAATATAAATCACCATATTAGGATTTCCTCTGTGAAAGAATATAGTATTCTCCACCAATAAAGGCAATGCCATGAGTGCTTCCATTACATCAAAGTTAGGTATCTCCGAAGTCTGATGCTTTTAGCTTCTGATATTGCCACAAAGGCCAATATCACTATAGCAATACTATGTTAATATAGTATATTAATATTATAAAACAGTGTCTTGAGGTTAAAAGCTTAATGTGAAATCTACTTTTGCTGAACCTCCACTATGTCCAATGCGTGAAACATTATGTCAGAAGTGAAATTGTATTTCACCAAATAAACCCTACTTGTTGGGTTCAAATCAGTCTTAAAACAAAACTTAAGCATTGTAATAGTATTATAAAAACCCAGCAAAAAATTGTGGTCCAAGATTATTTTTGAGGTTGAATTTGGACATAAATCCCCCAAAAGGCTCTGCTTGTTATATACACTAGTAGGTTCATGACATTAGAGGATTCTATTTATAAAGCTGTAATGATTTCTACATTTATGAAATCATATATATCTGCAAATAATATTCCATGTAAGTATATCTTTGACCTTAACGTAACACTGCTATAGTTTTATCACAGCCATTATTTATTTATTCAGTAATTCAGCAATTATTTGCCAAATGCCTACTATACAGCAGGTCCCCTGCTAAGCACTACAAAGCATTTCTAAGATGTTCTTTAGGACAGTGGATAAGTACATCTCAGGTAGTTTATCATTAGAAATAACAGGTGGCATTATTTTGTCCTCTAAACAAACAAATATAAATTCATTCTCAATGATCTTTTCAAAGAAATATCCCCAGATAGTAAAACTGTTTGAACACAGTTGTTCCTGAAAGCCTGAGAAGAAAGGGACAATTTCTACAGTAAGTATAATGGGAAATAGGTTGGTCATACCATGAAGAGTGGATCCCCCCTCTCCCCTGCCACGATCCCTGTCACCATGCATAGGATACTGTGTATGAACTTGGGTGCCATATTCTATCCATAGCTCCAAAACAGCAAAACCAGAGGCTCCGTCCCTTTTCTTTGCTCCCCACTTCCAGAGCTTCAGATGAAACTTCTTTTTCTCGACAGCAGAGGCTGACCTCCTAAAGTAAAGCAGACCCCATAAAGAAGTGTCTCCCTCCCATGGGGTAAAGATGATGATACCTCCTAGACCAAAGGAGTCCACATATCAGCTGGCTTTGGAGGAAATATTTCTTTTTTAGTGGAAAGTAATATTGTGGTACGATGGAGCATTTCAACATTGGATGTCAACAGGTGGTTTAATATTTGTCCGTCATAATAACCGCCCTGAATTAAGTGGCAAGACATGAACCTAAATGTAACTGGGCGTCTTCTACCGTATTCATCTTTCAGTCCTGTGGATAGAAATATTCCTGGGAGCATCTGGAGCTTTAGGCAACGGTGAACCACATTAAATTCTAGAAAGTGGGATTTAGTGCCCTGAGTGAGAAGCAGAGGAGGGTGGCGGAGAACTCCAGGGCTGGCAGCTCCAAGCTTTCCTTGGCAGAACGTTTATCCTCTACTCACACTTTTCACCTCAGAGGAACATGTAAGCTTGACCCCTTGGGGTTTTACTGAGAAATAATGAAGGAAAAAAATCTCTTGCCTCAACACAACTGCTCAGCTATTATTAAATTGTACTCTTTCATTATGGAAAAAGAAAAATGTGCCTGCAGACTGGTTTCTATTTGGGCATGGGGAAAAGGCAGACAATATTAATTTCGAACCAATAATTCTTTTCTCATTGGACTAAAAGGTTATGAATCTTTGATTTAAGCTTTAAAGTTAGAGGCACATCTTCGCTGTTTTTGTATTCCCAGGGCATAGCAGTTATTAAAACAGTTTGGAAACAATGAAATGAAATTGTGACAGGTTATGACCCAATCGAGCGGTAGACAAGTGCTTGATCAGGGCTGTGCACATGCGGAGCACAGTCGGATGTTGGTGAGTGTTCCGAAAAGTACCAGCAGTATCCTCCACTTCTTGCATTCCTTGGAGAAATATTGACAATATTGGGAGAATTTAGGGGAAAATACACTGCGTGGTGTTCTCTTCAGACACTAAGGCCTCTTCTCTTAGCTGTAAAGTCAACTCTAAATCTTTGTGAAGAATATGCACCCAGGGGAACTTGCGTTAAGATGCATTGATTTAAAAGGAGCTGAGAAAGGGTACGAGAGGGGATTCCATTCTGAGCTTCAACAAATCTCTTGTTAAATTTTCCCATCCCTCATCCTTTTGCAGATACAAGTGGGGTTGTGTGAATACATTAACTAAAATTCCACAGGCTCCTGTTTCCACACAAGAGCTCTGCTCACACACCCTTTGGAAAGACTGTCCCCTTCACCACACTTTCCTGCATCCCCAGATGTTTTCTGTGCCGAGTAAAACTCCGTGGCCTCTGGCTACTGGCTGTTGCTGCACTCTCATCTCAATGCCCCCTGTGGTCTCCAGTCATTGCCCTTTCTCCACCAGAACCAGCAACCTGCCCAATTGGCACTGCTTACCCCCAGCTGAGCATCACTCCAGAGGTAAAGTCCTCAGGTGCCAAAGGGATGAGTAGTCTAGTGCCAAGTGAATAGAAGTGAGGAAATACTTCTCTCTTTATGTTATATTCTTGTGTCCCAAAATAATTAATTAACCAAGATCAGAGGCAAAGAGCTTATTCAACTCCCCCCCCCACCTCTCTTTCTCTCCCCGTTATGGGCTTGGGACAGATATCAATTCCAGTGACAGCCACCATGTCATTCTGAAAATCACTGCTCCCCTCTGAGGACCAAGGCTTTTTTGCTGGTCAAATTTATCTTCCTGGTTTTTCCTTCTCTCAAGAAATTATCTTAGGGATTTCCTTAGTTCTTATACAATAGGCCTCTGATAGACCCACCCTCCCAATTCTGTTATTTAGTTTCATTCTACATTCCACAGATGCATGTGGCCTAAAAGGACCAGCAGCTCCTGCCCATAGCCATCTCTACAAGATGGGCAAATGAGCAAACTGAGTAAGGGACTTTGTGTACAGGTACCTAGCTTCTCCTTACTGGGGTTCCTCCTTCCCCTGTCCACCACAAAGAAAACTTATTCCCTCACAAACAATCTGATGAACTTATTCACAATGAAGTATTGATATTACCAGGGCTTAAAATAGTGGTTTTCAAACATTTTTTACTTTAAAGACACATTTACAGAAAGGTTAAACTCACAAAACAGCATATTACAGATGGGAAAGGCCAATGGCTCTGTGCCCCCCTTCTATGAGTTCTCCTGGGTATTCCTACAGAAATTCCTAGGACTCCCCTGAGCTGCACTTCTCAAACTTTATTATGCCTACAATTACCAGAATCTTAATAAAATGCAGATTCTGATTCAGGAAAATGAGGATGGAGCCCCAGATTCTGACTTTCAAACAAGCTCCTAAATGATGCTGATCCTGCTATGGCAGGCATCCCACTTTGAGTAGCCAGGCTATGGAGCCCAACTTTAGAACAACTGCTAAGTCTTGACTTTTCCATGAGATTTATTTGGTGGGGGGGGGGGGGTAAATGACCAAATCTTTAACTATAAAACAAACAGTTTGAGTGGAGGAATTATTATAGGAAAGAAGAAAACCAAGCCTCGTCAACCGAAAGCCACCAGTAACTACTTGTGGTCTTATGAAGTCAGGTTTATTTACCCATCGCAGTAAGAGAGACCAGGCGGAAGATGAAACATGGATTATCTCACCAAACTAAGGAAAACAGAGTTGTTACAGAGTTCTGTGCAGGGGTGGGCTTTAGATGAAATTTAAGTCTATTATGATAGGCTCAAAGCAAAGTAAGGCTGTGTAAAGGGTCTGGGCTGCAAAACAGGCCTAATGTCTTGGCCCTTCAAAGTTAATATAGCTGAGGAAGGCTGTGTGCAGAAACCCTGGATGTGAACTTCTGCTCTCAGGTTGTGAATTGAAGCTGATTTCCTGTATCAAAGTGACTTAGATCCTGCATGCATGAGTGAGATGTTTCATTCTTACTGATAGAATTTCCAATAGCCTTCATTACTCAAGAAGGGGGTTATTATGACACTTTAGAGCTGCAGTGTGTCCTTGAGAGAAGTATTTCCTGTTAACTTTGAAGAGCTGACTTTATCTATGCCTGTTATTCCAGCCTAATGAATGGCCAGGCAGATTTTACTTTCTTAGTCCAAGCTATTTTTTTTAATTTCTCAGTTCGTAAGTGACAGAAATACAACCCAAATTAATTTAAGCCAAAAGAAAAAAAAAAAAGCGGGTACTTTTCAGGCTAATTGAAACTGAAAAAGAAGTAGCTTTGGGGATAACTGTATCTGTGCTCTCATACAATATCATTAGGGCTTGATTTTTCTCCATCTCTCAGTTTTACTTGCCTCTGCATTGACTATATTTAAGTTGGGTTTTTTCACACTAAGGCAAGATGATCAAAGAGAATTTCTTTTTCTCAATAATTTGAACTGAAAGAAAATTTTGAGTCTCATTGGTCTGAGTTGGGCTTCACGTCAATTCCCAATTGTGAGAATGGATGGAGAATGGGGAAATGGCAGCTTACAAGGAAAATTGCAGTTCTGGACTAGAAGATGTGAGAAGTTGCTCTAGCCAAGTACAAACACAGATGTTCTTTACAGACTTTCCCAATACCCTGAAATCATGTCCTGTAGGGTGCACTGCTTTCCTTTATTCAAAATGTTGGCCTTTATTGCTTTCAGTCTGAATTCCAGAGATGAGAGAGCAACAATTAATGCTAAGTATATTTTTAACTTTTATGTTTTGGGGTCTTTTTAAAAATCTTTTTTATCGTAAATAATTTCAAACTTACAGAAAAGTTGCCAAAATAATGGAGAAAACTTCCATGTACACTTTCC